GCCTCGATCTCCCCCTCTGGAAAATGGAGAGACTAGCACCTAATTTGCCGGGGGTGGGGGGGACATGAGGATGAATGGAGATGGTGAGCGGGAGGCAGACTGGCCTGTCTGGCCTGCAGAACAAGTTAGGACCTGATGCCCCAACACTTCACCCCATGTCCCCACTGCTCGGGAGGAGCCCTCTGCCCCCTCCCCCCCCCGCCCCCCTACCAGCTGCTCTTGTTCCCCCACTGAGGTCCAGGTGCCTTTCATCCTCATTCATCTGTGGGCCCCCAGGACTGATGGGGTGGAGGGCCTGGTGTTGGAATGCATAACTGAGCGATGGGGTAAACGAGGCAGAGGGAGGGAAGGGCCAAAGTCCAGAGCCCGCCTTGGCCGCCTCTGCTCGGAGTTGGCAGGTGCTGTTCCGTGGGCCTGGTGCTCGTCCTGGGCTGGTGGGAGGGGAGGGCCATGGGCAAGAGCCCCCAGGACTCAGGAGGTGTTCATCGGGTTGTCTTACAGCCTGATTTAGCTGGGCAAGGGCAGCGTTTCCTTCCCTTTGGGGCCTGGGCCTCATCCCTCGTACTCCTCATAACTCCTGATAACTCCTGGGTCCCAGGCCTGCTGCTGGTCACGTGCTGTGCCCTGTGTGTATGGTGTCTGAACACAGGTGGGACACAGATTCATTGCCTCTACGTCGGGGTGCCGTGGGGGCCCGCCCATGCCCTGTGGGACACAGGCCGTGGCCTTTGCTGGCCCCAGGGAGTTCTGGCGGAGTGCCCAGCCCTGCCTGTCCGCCCTGAGGGGCAGAGCTGCCTGGCAGGGCCTGGACTGCTCCCGCCGAGGCCTCAGTGGGTGTGTGGCCCTGTCTGGCTCCCCCGAACCCCATGCCAGATCCTCCCAGGGATTTGGGCCGCCTGGGCCCGGCCCTTCCCTTCCCAGTCCGAGGGCGGGTGTGGGGGCTGCTTGGCGGGCTCGCCTCTGGCTGAGGCCCAGGTGCAGGCAGTGCTTAAAGCCCCACGCACCACCTCCCCCCCCACCCCCGCCAGCAAGCTGGGCAGACAGGAAAATACCAGACATAGTTGTGCAAAGGTGGCTGCAGGCAGGCAGGCAGTAGGGGGTGGAGGCCGTTGAGATGGGGGCCTAGAAGCCACCAGGCCTAAGGGAGTCCTCTGTGCCGGGCTGGCCCCTGCATCTGGACAGGCACGCGCGTCTGTGTGAGTGTGCGTGTTCGTGTGTGGGCTGGGCCCGTGTGTGAGTCGCTCCTCCCTACCTGGTGTCATTGGGGAAGCCAGGACCGGTGAGGGGTGTGGGCGTGGGGGTGGGGAGCCAGCTGTGGGCCTTCCAGCTTCAGCACTGCTCAAGTATCTGGGTGACCTTGGCAGGCTAAGTTATTGCATGGGGCACCCCCAGCCCAGGGCCAGGAACAAGAATTCTCGGAGCCACGTCTCCTGCGTGCCAGGCGCTGGGCCAAGCTCTCCCTGTGGGATGTCCCCAATCCCTACCTTGCCCTGTGAGCTGGCACCTTACTGTGCTACCTATGTTTCTGACCAGGGCTCCTAGTGGGCAGCAGGGCCCCATCTGAGGCCCCACAGCCAGGGGCGAGAGCACAGGGGCCTGGGACCAACTAGCCTGGCTCTGGGTAGTGCTATCTAAACATGCCGGAGTGGAGGTTCCTGGCACACACCCTTCTTCAGGTGCTGCCCAGCTGAGGGCTTTCCTGAGGACCCCATGGCTGAGGGCAGAGAGCTCAGCCCTGGTTGGGTCACCTGGGGCACTTGCACTCCACCTGGGTGGGGTCTGCTCCCCCCCCCCCCGGGGGACCTGGGGAGGCTCAGGAGGCTGGCTGAGGGCCCATCTTGAGATGGGGGCAGGGCCTGCCTGCAGAGTGAGAGGTTCCCAGGGAAGAACCCCTTGGTCTTACAGGAAGTACGCTGGCCCTGGCCCCTCTCCTGGGACCTGCTGGGCGAGGCCTCAGGATAAGCCCCTCCTCTGGGTCCCGGGAGGAGCCCTGCTCCTTCCAGAGTTGCTCAGAGACTCCAGGGCCTCCCTCCTTTTCTTTGAGCAGTTGAGCTCTAGAAGGTGGCTAGGCTCAGCTGTGGCCACTGCCCAGGACAGCTGATGCCTGAGGCTCCCTGAGGGGCACCAGCTTGTTTAGTTGCACCTTACAATGAAGGCCAGTTGCGCTCAGGTGAGGGGGAGACAGTGGTGTGTGTGGATGCCGTGGGGAGGGTCAGTCCCCCCACCCAGCTGTCCTCACAGCTCCAGACTAGCCAAAGGCTGGACGTGTCAGTGATGGTGACAGTTAATTCAACAAGTTTGACCAAGTACCTACTATGGGCCCAGCATTGTTTCAGTTGCTGAATATTACATAATAATGGGAGACATTAAGAAATCACTGGATGGGGGCACCTGGGCGGCTCAGTCGTTGGGTGTCTGCCTTCGGCTCAGGTCATGATCCCAGGGCCCTGGGGTCGAGCCCCACGTCGGGCTCCCTGCTCAGCGGGAAGCTTCTCCCTCTCCCACACCCCCTGCTTATGTTCCCTCTCTCGCTGTCTCTCTGTCAAATAAATAAATAAAATCTTTAAAAAAAAAATCACTGGATGTGTGCATCACCACCCAAAGCCCAGTGAGGAGTTCTTATTACTATTAGGATCATCCCATTTTAGAGGTGAGGACAATGAGACAGGGAGGTGACCTGCCCTAAGTCACATGGGCAGGAAGTGACAGAGCCAAGCTGGAGACCCAGGTGGTCTGACCCGTACTTGGATCCCTGCTCTGCTGCCTGCTCAGGAAGGGGGGTGCTGAGAGGATGGGGTCTGCCCCTGCCCGCACCCCTGCCTCTGGCCGCCAGGAGGGTGGAGCTCTTGGCCAGAGCAGGGAGGGAGCCGGAGCAGTTCCCAGGAATGTGGGGCCGTTTGCTTTGGCAGCATATGAGCCCTCGGCTCTCCAAGCCTCCCTGTGGGCCCCCCCCCTCAGGCTGGCCCCTCCAGCGCCCACCCACTGCCTGCTGCCCCTCCTAGGCTCTGTACCTAGATCCCACAAACCCCTGGGCAGGGAGGGGGTGCCAAGCTGGAGCCCTTTTGCCTGCCCCTCCCCACATCCTTGGGCAAAGGAGGGGCTGATAGTGAACTTGGCTTCTGGACTCACCTGGGCTTGAAATCCAGTTCTGCCACAGACAAGCTGTGTGACCTTGGACAGGTCACTTAATCTCCCTGAGCTTCAGTTGTGACATCTGTAAAATGGGGGTGGCCAGCACCTGCCTTAACAGGTGGTTGTTGGTCCTGTTGTCATGTAATATTCACCTGAGGCTTCCAGCTGGCTTGCTCCCCACCCCAGCGCTCAGTTTCCCCATCTATGAGAACTGCATGTTGATAGCCATGATCCCAGTCACCAAACACCCCTGCACCCACAGAGCACGGGGGAGGCTGGGGACTTACTTCCTCTTTCCATGCGATACCAAGAAAGCCACTGGGCTTTTGAGAGGTGCATCTTGGACCCTTGTCCCCAGGTTCTAGGCTAGATGAGCCATGGCTGACCAAAGGGCAGTTTCAGGACCACGGGGGCAATAAGGGGTGTCCCTTACATGGCCCCATGCTGCTGTGGGGTGGGCAGGGAGAGCCCCCATCTTACAGAGAGCCCTGTCCTCTCTGCTTCTGGCCAGGAGCCCCTGAGTGCTTCTCAGGGTGGGTATGCCTAGCTGCCCCCCTCCACCTACGCAGGCTGCCCTCCAAGCTCCGGGCCAGCCAGCTGACCTCCCTCAAGCAGGGAAGGAGCGGCTTTATCCAGAGCGGAGTCCAGCGCACTCCCGTGGGTCTGGTGAGCTCGAGCCTCAGTTTCCCCATGTGTAGGACAGGGGCAACGACGGCCTCTACTCCCAGTACGGGTTTTAGAGGGTTCGGAGAATTCCTGGACAGCCGGTGCCTGGCACAGGGTAGGTGTTGGACGCATGCTGAACCCCACCCCCCCACCCCCGGTATGCGTCCCACCCCACGCCACAGGGCCCCCGCGGAGTCCGTGCGCGGTCCGGACCTCGGT